CATTGTAATGCGTTTCACGCTCGTAGTTTTACTCCTATGTCCTGCCGTTCCCTCTATTTAGCGTGTCAGAGAGGAATCCGCGACTTTATAATGAATTTTCTATATTTATCTTTAATGAAAACCGGAAAATACACTCCGATATCTTGAAAAAAGAAAGAGACGCTGCGATTCTTCGTTTGAATCATAATTGCAACAGTGCGTATACTATAATTTGACTGTACTCAATTATTCGAATGAATAAGTTGTTAAAGTTTTTATCTGCTCATCGATAAAACTGACACGATCTCTAAAATATTATCCTGTCGGTTATGAAAAATTCTAATTGATTTAAAACTCGAACGGAAAATGGAACTGCAAGTTTATTCTAATATACCGAAACTGGTAACTTTCATTCAGAAGTATCTGTAACTACAAGAACCACGTTGAGAATATGGTGTTTGTTTAAGAATGAAATAGATATGAAGAATAAAAGAAGGAGAAAAACAGTGCATTAATGTTAAGGAAAAGGATTCAATAGGCTTAGAGAAAAAATGCAATAAAACAACGACGTGTAATGTAGTATAATAAAAGTTGTCGAGGATGGAAACAATAAAGTAGAGTTTACTTTTAAATTGAAATTAACTTCCAAGTTAAATTGCCTCGAACAGTGCACAGAAGTTAATAAAGTAATAGATCATTTAAATTCTTCCAGAGATTCTATAAATACATAGTATCCAAAAAGATATTATCGGATTGAACAATTCTTAAAAGCGTTTAACAATCCATTTTCTATGAATATATTCAACACTAAAACTACCGAACAGTTAAATTGACTTTTTAATTCATTTACAATTCAGTTTAATCAATTTCTTTAACCCTTTGCACTCCAGAGACGCCTCTAAGTCACCAAATGATTTGCACAGCAAAACTGTAAACTTTGATATTTAATATTAAACTTTGCATAATGCATCAATGTACGAAATATTGAAGGAAAATAGTTCTCTTCCTCAATACACGTGAGATTTCTTAATTCGATCTAAGAAAATGTGTGTATCTCATTAGAAAATATTGAATATTTCCGGTGAAAAACTTCTGGTGTGCAAAGGGTTAATAATTCCTCGGAGAAACATTTGTTATCTTCATAGTTGCAAAAAGAAGAAATCAGGAATGGATGATTTTGGCTCGTCCGCTGGTTTTAGTATTAAACTGTTCAAATCGTGCAGCAGAATACTATGTACGAGGAAATAAAGTCGAAGTATTAGAACGGCGAGACGAGAGGGATAAGCGTGTATTTACATACACGTGTTCCAGAGATTGCCAAGCGTATTCGTGTTGTTCGTTAACTACGGAGATAAGGTGACTATACGTAGGTGACACGTGCTACGAAAATACACGGCTAAGGACTACTCTGAGGGAAGCGACAAGATAAAATTAGAAGGAGAGAAAACCGAGTCGTCGAAACGTTTGTTTTACGGTCCCGCCCGGTTCCACGACATTCGCCGCAATTTTTCTTTCCACGTCCACTTACGACACAGTCAAACGCTCCAATTCAGTGAACGGAGGGGTCCTACGAGCCCCGGCAGAGGTAAATTAATAATATCGTTTAGCAATGTCCAATAATGCTGCCAGGAGGAAAATACGAGAAGACTCATGTACGATCAACGCGTGTATTTATTATTTCCATGATGCTTCAAATCGCGATATTCACGAAAAAATGATTTTCTTCAATTGGAACTTAAGTGCAGTATCAAATGAAAATGATGAATGATCAAAAGAAAATTTGAAATTCTTTTCCCTTCCAAATATTGGGAGTTAATCGTGAGAATTAATTTTTTTTATAAAATTTTATTTTATGTTCTTCATATATTTTATACCTACACTTCGATTTAAATATTATATAAATATTCATGATAAATATTGAATATTAATATAAATATTGATTTTTCAAGCTTCATTATTAAATCAATTATTTATAGTAATAAGAGAGCGAACAAAGGCGAGAATAATTTGGGATAGATGTGATGTTACCACGAATAATTTGTATTGAACAGCTAACATAAAAGTTTATAAATGTTAATACTCTTGTAAGAATTATGCAATAATTCCATCAGTAACAAGTAATAAAAGAAACCATAATCATAGTTACTTAACATATCTTGTTACTACTACTTATGTACAATGCTAAATTCGAATTTGCTTCTTTATTGATTGCGATAGAATTTAAGAACGTTTACAATGTAGAATTGATTTCGAGTAAAATTACTCTTAGTAAATGTTCCACTCGGTGCTTGCGTAAGTATCATAAACATTTAAATAAGATTGACGCGAGCGCGAATGTCTCATGCGCGAGGAATCAAGTAACAAAAGCGAGTGCGATGAATTATCCGATAGTTTTGTTACTCGCGGAACTCATTTAGCGAACACGTAGTCTCTTGTACTCCTCGTTATCTTTGTATTTACTTTTTCCGAGGGAACGACGTCTCTGAATGAGTTATCGCCGCGAAGCCTTGAGCCCACTCAATTATCTTAATGAGCAGAAACGCCAATAGCACGCCACGTTTTCAGGGGTACGTCTTATTTTTAAACCATTTCCCGCGTTGACGAATTTGCGGATGCTAGTCACCCTTTAAACGGAGCATTCCTAACCAGAAGCAAGTCGGCGAAACAAATTTATTCTGAACTAATTTTTGCATTCCTCGCTGTAAACTCTATTATACGAAAGCATTCTTCGAAAAGATAAATATACCGTTTGAGCCCTAATAACACTGCTCTACAAAACAAGCAACGAACATCCGTATCACAAATCCTTTAAGTAGAATTGAAAAATATTTCATAACAAACTTGTTACATTTCTCGATTTACATTTAAGATGAAATTCAATCTGTCAAGAAGAACAACCTCGATCTGAGGCACTAATGGAACTTATGATTTCAAGAAGAATTATTCCTCGCTTAATTAAAAGGAAAGTCATCTTAAAATGAAAATAAAAAAGTTAACCTTCGCATACCTGTTACTAAATTACTTTCGGATAAAAGTTAAGTACTATATGTATTTTACACATAAAACGTTTTTATATACATTTTCCATATATTTCTGTACATTTAGTAAGTACTAAAATATATTTAATGATCGATGGTGGAACGTTCAAGGTGAAGAATTTTAATTTTTATGCGATTGCGAACAGATGACAGTAATATCATAGAGTGCATAGGAGAATGCACAGTATCTTTATGGAGGAAGGTGCATTTGTTCTTTACAGGCACGTTTATGCTTCTAACGGTATTTTCATACGCAAGAATTGCGTCCGCGTAACGTGTCACGTATTCGGCAAATTCGCATTGAATAGTTTCCGCTGTAAGCTTTTGATTGCACTTGACTATGAAAGACATTTTACTTCGTTCTGCTTCATCGGTCTGGTATTTTACAGTGCATTTAAAATATTCTGCGGTCAAGGTGAAGCCTCAATGTTATTCCTTTTATCATTGATGGGTGGTTCGTTTTTCCGAATTGTTCAGAAACGTACGTCCATTAATTCTTAATTGACTCGAGACACGTGAAATATTTCAGCTAACCTCTGAAAGTAAAAATAGAGATTAAAAATGTATTCTTAACTACCTTAAAACAGCTAGTACATAGTTACCTTGGTACACATAAACTCGTCTCATTCTTTCAACAATGGTGAGTCTTCCTGAAAAATCCGCTTTCCGAAAACAGCGTTCAGCGAGAGATTTTTTCATTTCTGAGGGTGTATCGTTTGAAATTTACATACGAATGTTTAACCCATTGCTCTCAAGAGGTGACTCTCAGTCACCACAATGATACAACGAAACTATGAAGTTGAATATTTAATATTTCAAATTGAAGTTTGCATTGCTATGTGAAATATTTAAATGAAACACCCCTGTTGCTTAATTTATCTATGAATTATCGTTAAATTAGTTTCAAATAATATGACCTATATCTCGTCAGAAAATGTTGAATATTTCCATTGAGAAACTTTCGAGTGCAAAGGGTTAAGTAACATATAATAAGTATATACCAAGTGTAAAATAATTCTTTACTGCTAGTATAAAAAAGATATAGAACAAGAATACAATTATATTGAAAATTAGGTAGATCACATCATGAGATTCATTGAACAATTCGTATTAAAACAGCAAGAGTGTACCCATTACTTATCGAACAACCCTCAAATGTGGTGCAGCATAATTCAAATGGTGAAAAACAGGATAATTAAATTTATCTACTATTAACATTTAATCACTAATTATTATAGTTCAATCACCATCAATAGGTAATTAATGTTTGATAAAAATTTCTATTTCTATTATATTTCCGTATCAAATCAACACCAAGAACAATTATATTATATATCCACAGAATAATATAAATATATGACACAGAATACATGAATCTTCAACGACTTTCTGTACCCAATGAAGACCAAAAGCACCCCCATAAAAGGATCATCAGCAGTTTTCAAAGGACTCACGGACACGGTCCCGTAACAATGAATTAGTTGGTTCAACAACTAACGAAAAGGAGACCGACAAAACGAGATGGAGGAAAAAAAAACGAACACGGAAATCTCCGCGGCGTCGATCCGTTAAGATTCCAAAGGGCGAAAAACTATTTCTGGTAGTCATGTGCGAACGGCGATGCCGCGAAAGTCCCCAGGCCGCGTTTCCCTTTCCCGCGTCGGTTAACTTAGATTCCTCGGCGAGCAACCCATCAAAATGATAAACTCCTCTCGTTCCGTGAAAGAAAGCTGGCCGAGGCGTCGCCCGTCGGTGCATTTATTTTCGTATTCTACTTTCCCCGTGTCGCGCGGATAATAGATCGAAATTCCTGCCGTAGAAGTGCCGGCTGAATGGCGGCGACGTAGCGAGACTACCGGGTGTCCGTTTAGTCCAAAATCGGCGCCACCGATCAAAGAGCATCGGCGTCGATGAGACAGGAATCTGCCGAAGCGAAGGGATCGATCTGGCTGCGACGTTGCCAGCTTTAAGTGGCAACCGATCGCGACGCTGCGGGGGGGAAGGCGACAGGGTACGAACAGTGCGTCGGTTATTGCTCGGTGATAGCGTGCACGACAAGGGTGAGGAAAAAACGCGGTGTGTCACCGGAGAGGGTGAATTCGGTTGGACCCGGTGGACACGTGGCTCGTATGTCCGTCGCGGATCGTTGGTTCACGCGTCGTTGCCCGGCCGCGCGGCGTCGCGGTGCTATCGCTCGCGGCGTTCCTCGCAATTACGCAATGACGGTCCGTCACAATGACGTCGGACCCTGTGCGTGAGAATACCAGTGACTTCGTTCGTTCGAGAGCTGTTTCGGCGATCGTTCGTGGATGAACTGTGCGTTCCGACGATTTTGATCTATCGATGCGATTCGGCCCTTCGATTCGAGGAGATTCGAAACGGAATCCCTTCGATTTGACGACAATGGCTCTTTATGTTTAAGGTTACCAGCATGAGCTTCTGGCCACGCAGACGGTTACGCATCACACCGCTACGAGCGTTGGTGGCGTTCGTCCTGATGGTAGTGCTGTTCTGGTACAACCTCAGTCGGCAAGAGCCGCCCAAACAACCGTGCAGTGTGCCTGAAGAATTCACTGAGAAACTGCATGATCTTGCTTACAGGTCTATACGGTTCTATATTGGATGTTGATAAGTTCTTGCTGAACTCCTGGTAACTGATAACTATTGTCCGGATCGAGGAGTTCTATGATATCTCTCGAAGCTGGATAGTAGATTGAATGTTGCATGTAATTGATCGTTCCTATTTTATGTTTTTGTTAGGTAGATCCAACTGTTGTGAGAAATCATTTATTATTTCGTAATAAATTTTCGTTGTAATAGCCAATTCTGAGTTGTTATTAATTGGCAGTTTCTACACATAGGTTCCTTTTTATTAGAAATTTATTAATTGGAGGGATTGTCATTCTGAGAGATTTTAAATTATAAGTAATTTTCGTAGACGTTACTTCTTTTTGTTTAGTTTTTGCAACTGTTGTGAGAAATCATTTATTATTTCGTAATAAATTTTTGTTGTAATAGCCAATTCTGTTTATTTTCCTATTCATAAAAAATATATACAAAGTATTTCAAAGGTTTTCTCAATCGTAATATTTCAGTTTGCACAAGTACTTAATTTTTTAAATTTTGTATTTATAACGTCTGTAGTTGTTTTAATTGTAAACAATAAATATTACAAAGCACTATACATTGCAGCGTGCTTGGAGTTCTGCATCAGAACTGCTGACTACTAAAGAGTTTCTAGTGTCATTGTACTTGTTCGACAACAGATGGTTTCTTTGATAATGCCTTTTATGCTTCTACCCGATAACGTCGCGTTTTAGTAACTCTTACAGAGTAGTTTTCGAGGAAAGAAAATCTACGATGAACGAAGGAGATATTCTGTCGTCTTGTTCACAACAGCCAGTAAATGAGAACAAAGATACTGTCCTATATTCTCACAGTAGCTTACTTTGCCATTATCTTCGTTTAGGTCGTCTAAGATAACATTTGTTGGGTAGTTATACTGATAAATTTAGTAGATCCAGGGCAGAATGCTTCTTTTACTTTCCCTTTAACCAGTTAACTGTGTTCCACGAGTATACACGTCATCGCAAAGCTTGACGTGATACTAATTCTTTATTTTTTCACGTAAACATGTAATTCTTCTTTGTTTCGCTTTGATCTTTCATTAACCCTTTGCGGACGAATGTCGACATTTCGGCGAGATGAAAAATTCATATTCGGAAGACTAAGTCGCAGGCAAATGATCTAATTACTCGGACAGCAAGAGATTAGCATGTAGTTTCTGATTTTGCTATTATTTAAGCAATTAATATATAATTTAGCTTCATCTGTCGGTTTTGTACATTTCAAAGAATCTTCGTCCGCAAAGGGTTAAAATATACTCTGCATTCGTCCTGCGTTCGACGAGTGCACGCTCCATTTTTTGATTTTATTGCGCGTAGAACGAGAGGTTCTTCCAACTAAATTCCGCAGTTGACTGGTTAACTAATCAACCCAATCGATTTCTGTTAATTGATCAGTAACAGAAACCAAAAGATCGTTTAGTGGTTGGCGACTTGGATTTCTCTTCCGCAGAAAGTTTAATCGAAGTCGAGTTTCATTAGCCACCTCCAACTGTGATGTCTCATTTGCCTAGGGCTCATCTAGCGCTAGCAAAATTAGACATCGTGCACTTTCTGTGCCTCGGCGGACTCTGGGGTCAAGTTCGGATCGGTCGCGCCCTACCTTGGGCACGTAAGGTCGAACTCTGTCTGGTGGACACGTTACGTGACGATGTCCTGATCACGAAAGCATTCCGTGAAGTTGGACTGAGTGCTACATATCTACACGCCGCGGGTGTGTACCGCATACAGGAGAACGAAGAGGATAACGTTGGCGAAGATGCTCCCAAAGTGGAGGTAGTAGTCTTCGAGGAAGACGCGGTGGTGAGTCCGTTTGTGATATTTGTAAAGTATCTGTAAACAAATTTTTGTTCTGGCCTTGTTTCTTAACGCGTTGAATGCCGCACGATTTCATAGAGCAAAATACGCAAAATGAAAAAATATAATATTAACCCTTTGCACTCGAGAGCTGACTCTCAGTCACCACTTGATTTCACGTAAAACTATAAAATTTGATATTCAATGTTGAACTGTATATAATGCATCGGTGTGTAGAATATTGAGATATAGCTTTGTTTCTCAATTCACCTGTGATTTTTCTTTGAGTTAATTTCAAAAAATATCGTCTGTGTCTAGTTAGAAAATGTTAAATATTTCTGACGAGATACTTCCGAGTGCAAAGGGTTAAATCATTTGATTGAGTTTCGTTGTTATTATTGCACGTTCTAGCTAAATGTCACAAAATTAAGTAGAATTATTTGTAATATGGAAATGTTTCCAAATCGTCGTTTAATTGAGTGAACTATAGTAATTCAATTCGATTGGGAGTCACCGGTGACCCCACGGCAGTCAACGTGTTAATATTTACAAATGCACTACTAAAATCGTATGTCCAGGTTTGATATTTAGTTTCTTACTGTAAAATCCGCGAGAATTACGATTTTGTTGTTTGGTGATCATGTTTTCAACCTCTTAGCATTATTTAAACATTTAAATGCTTTCCATTTTTGTTTACTTGTGTCAGTATTAAACATAAACTCATGTACTACAGTGTCGTTTTCTTTGTGTACGCAATGATATCGTTATATCGACTGTTTCATCGATCTTTCAGAAATATATTTAATAAAAGAATATATTAAGAAATATATTAAAAAAAAGAATTTCTAACTTGTTCTGTATTGATTTTGTTCATGTACGAATTACTTTAATATATTACATTCTGAACATTATTTTGTGATAAAGTATATAGTATATAAAGTCATTTTGATAGATTTAATATATTATACCGTTAAACTCGTAATGTTATATAAAATATCTATGACCCTCAAATAACTTTGATAATAATATTACCAAAAGTATCGCCAAAAATCGCTTATATTTTTCGCTTCGAAAATTGCAATGTTTTAATGTTATCTTCTTTATTCGTGGTTCCAGGTGCTTATAAAACAAAAATAAAATTTTCGTATTAAATTTAAAATTTTTCAAAAGTACTCTCAGAAAATTTGGTACGAGTTATTTATTTTCGAGAATTTATTAATGATTATTAACGAATATTATTCTTCTGTTTTGAAGGAAGTATTATCATTTTACATATACAGGATGTTTGAAAAATGTACCCGCACTATTTCATAAACAGTAGGACCCTTGAAGTCGTAATATTTCTTAATGCTCTATGCAAACAACTTGTCTCTGTGAAATTTAACGCTGCAGTACCATCCGTTACAAGTTATAAATTCAGTGTCGCGTTGTGAATATTTTGTGCGATTTACGATGTATATTTTACACGTAGCATAACTAGGACAACGGGAAGTCGCTCGTTGGCATTGCTGTCAGTACTAAACTGGTGAACTTTCTTTTATTAATACCGAATGCCTTTATTGCTGTGTGACATTCTGAAATGTGTCTTGTTAACGATAAGTATTGTACACTACAAATAGCACAGACAAGATCTTAGTGTTCTTTACATTACTACACAAACAGTACATATGAATCACGTATATCCTAGATCACTTTAAAACAATTGTTTTTAATTGTTTTGAACATTATAATAAGAATACAAATAAATAACAATACAGAACATTAATTTCCTTACATTCTGTATATTAACCCTTTGCACTCGGAGGTTTCTCTCTAGAAATATTTTAACATTTTCTGAGGAGATAAAGACGATATTTCGTGAAACTAACTCAATGAGAAATCGCACGTACACTGAGGAACAAAGTTATTTTATTTCAATATTTATCAAATTGATGCATTATGAAGTATAATGTTAAATATCAAATTTTATAGTTTCACTGTACGAATCACGTGAGAGTCACCTCTCGAGTGCGAAGGGTTAAATTTCCTCTCAATTTTCGACAATTTCCTTGAAAGTTTGCAGGTTTAAATCCTTGCCACTTTTATTCCAAGTTATCGGACAGATTTTATTCGAAATTCCCTTCTCTTTGCAGACGCAAATGGTGAGAAGAGTCGGTTGGACGAGAAGAGTGCTGCCTCCGGATTGCGAGTTCTCTCCCAGTCTGCAATGTTTCCCACCACAGCTTGTAATTCCTCCTTTACCGGCGAAACAGTTCGGTGGTCGATTGATGCCTGTACCCAGGGAAGGTATCGAACTACAGAAGTACCACTACCCCTATGACTGGTGGCTCGAGCTGAAACCAACGGAATGTACCGAGCAACAAGAAACGAACGCGTAGTACTTGATACCGTTGTAGCGAGGATTCGCGGTGGATGATTAATCTTATCGCGTAGAAACCAAATGTTGCCTCCTTAAACTGCCGCGAATGAACACAATACCGTTCACGATACACACGTCCTATCGTGTTCCCGAACTGCTTCCATCCCCGATATTCGTTGACTGTTGAGTATTCGCGTAAAACGATAACATGGGTTCCGTTAATAGAATTTTGATGGGGCAATTAAAATGGGATAGTTAAAAATGGTTATTGAAAACGAGAAATTTAAAAAGGATATTCAAAGAGTATAACACTTATTTGAAATTCCTCCACGTTTTATCGGGTTTTTGCGAGTATTGATGTATTCAACTAATTCGGAAGAAATTCTGCAGTTTTATTAAAGATTGGAATTTAGCGAAACAAAACTGTTCTAAATTCATTACTATATTCGATTAAGCAACGGAATTATTATCAATGGTATGTAAGAACATTAGGAAAAAGAAAGTGAAATTCAAGTTAGAATAACATTATTATTCGTTGGTTGTCGCATTGCTTGTAGCAGCCTGCTTAAATCGAAATTCTGAGCAATGAAATAATTAAAGATATTTAATAATGTATTTATAAGAAGAAGCAAACGAGTATTGGAAGTTACTTGCTCGATTCAACAAACGAACATTTTTGACTATCCATATTTAATCAAAGTATTTCTTTTTATAAATTAATTTTAAATAGATCAATATTGAATAATCACATAAATTCGTGCGATTTTTGCAACGTTGCTTATCATACGTTCACTGCTTAAGTAAAACTGACATTACTTCTAATAACTTTTTTTCGCGCGATATATTTTTTGTTTATTCCGGTTTTATAAAAATACATCTTCCTTGACGAGAACATTTATATAAACGATTATCGGTGAGTGAAAGAAGAAATTACACAGAATTTTTTATAGTACCTTTTTCGTCATACACATGTGTTTTCACGGTACTTTTGGAGAAACAATTTTCTAGAAAGTTCGTATTCTTATCTCAACAAATGCGTCACAAGCTTTTATAGTCCTCCGACGAATAAAAGTACTAAAACATTTGCATATGAAGTGCCTATGTAATCGTTCAATGAAAATCGCACGAATTTCTTTGAGTATACATCCATTTGACGATTTAAGTAATAGAAAGTTAACGACGCACTGTTGGTTGTTTGATAGAATTTTATCTAACGAATAGAAAATTTGTAAAAACCTACATTTTATTCTTTACGAAGGAATTATACTTTCCCCGACCAGGAAACGTAAATTTAAGAGAACGTGACAAATCATTATCAGTGAAATTACGAGTACACATTTTTAGAAGGCTTTCGAGTATTTCTGTTCTTCCAATGATTAATCAATTAGTCCGGGTTTTTACGTGTCAACGATGGAGTTTGATAATGTAGGTGGTGTTAGACGAACACAAATTGCTTTAATGAAAGTACGATACTCTGCGCGGTACGAGGTGTCTCTATCTTCAGATATCTGGTTGCTCTGTTGGCGCCATTATTGTCAGTACAAGCGTTTCTTAACACATACGCAAGTATGTGTACAGATGTTACTTTAAATTTATTACAAGTGCCAGATCAAAAGGAGATATATGCAAATTTTGAGGTAAACGTTCTTCCTGCTTAATTATTTATAACGATTACAAACTGCGATAGGATGAAAATGACGACTTTGTCGTCTTTATCGATTCGATTTGTCTAATCAAATGTACTGCCTTCTTCTATTTTCACTTTTAGCGCAAATAAGATTGTTACGAGATGATGAGTTCTTTTGTAAGAAAGTATTTGTTTGCTGTACGTGAAAATCTACGGGATTTTTAAATTATCTATACAACGGAGTTAATCAATGTTTCATAAGGTGATGACGTTACGATCATTTTGGAACGAATACGACGAATAATTGAATTTTTGGGGAAAGTTAATTGGAGAAATAAAAGTTTAACGGAGAACGAATTCAATATATTACAATTTTTTGAAAGATGAGGCATGAAAGCTTTTTTAAAACTTGCTCCATTTATATGGTCAATACTATAGATCAATGTACAATAATCTGATAACCTTTCCTATTAACAAAATTGCCAAAAGTTTCTTTATTGTTTATTCGTTTCATTACAAGACAGAAATAATTATTCCCGGTAATGTATTGTCAGTTTCCTGAAGATCACATGCTACCCCATGAATGTTAAAGTAATGGCGCTGAATTATATAGTGTTGACTATTTCACTGCGTTGCATAGTTGTAAGACGACGAAAAAGTAGAATGTAATCTGTGTAAATACTTTAGCTGTTTTAGGTCCCTGAACGTATTCGTTAATTTTACTTTAGCACTGTTATTAAAAGAATACTAAAATTTCTAAATACTTTAAATATTAAAATATTGAATGCCTCCTATTGAGAAAAACGGTAAAATAGTTGTCATTGAAAGTGAATCAGTGAACGTTAAAATTTACAAAATCATACGCCAAAATCTGATAGAAAATTAAAGTTGGCTTAGTAATTATGAAGCGCAGTGTAGTAGGGATACATTACTTTAATAATTACGCATGCATATCAAGTTGATTTAAATACACATATTCAACTGGTTTAACCCTTAACAGGTTACGTGGTTTTCCATGTATCCTAAGTTTTTTCTTTGGACAATATTTCAATATTTCCATCAAAACACAACATTAAAACTAATATATATATAGTAAGTATACGAAAGAAGTATGTCACTAAGATTATATTTATAATAAATATAGCTATTATTTGTTTAAAAAGTTTTATATTCTCAAAGTCACTCCACTTGATCGGTTAAGGGTTAATATTGAAGTCGGTACGCGGATAAGAAAATTGATATCTTCCATTAAGAAGTTGTCAACTATGTGTGTGATATTAAATAAGGAGAAGGGACACTGGTTACATCGAGCGACGAGTTTAAAGAAGCGCTATGGTCCTGCATAAATTAATATTGAAAGTTAGACGTAAAAGAATTGTTCCTTTCGAGAGTCTGAATATGCGCGTGTTGAATGTCTTTGAATTCTACGCGTTGACTGTGTTTAGTAAATAGTAGGTATATATATTTTATGAATAAAAGCTTCGAGTACTCTTCGTTTCTCAGTTGCAATAATCAGAATCCTCTTACATAGTCACTGAAACTTGTTTTAAATCGAAGTCTGTCTATTTTACGAGTTGTGAATTTCGTAAGTATACGAAGAAACGAACGCTTATTTTGATTTGCAAAACGAATGGCGAATCTTTTTGCAGTATCGATGGTTTTTGAGATTGCTGGAAACTTACACTTATTCGAGAGATAGAGACATCTACACAATTGAAATTACACGTTGAAGAAAGTGAACTTGTTCGATGGACTTGCATAGTTTGTTCCGATTATAGCGTTTAAGGTACATAATAATTTAAGGCAGAACATATTACGCGTGTACGTGGCGTATCATTATTAGATTTTACGAAATACCAGTCTCGAGTTAGAAGTCAATCATTTATCATTGTCCCGTTGAACGTGCGGAAATATAGGGGTCACCGAGACTGTAACCAAAGGTTAAAAACGTAAAATGAGTGTTACCTTTTCTATAATGTTTATATTTTCTTCCGTTTTGTGCATACTTTGTAGGAACTACGATTAACATAGCAATTGATCATTGCTACGCGACACTAGAAAATTCAAGATTTATTTTGTTTCCGCTAATATACAGTTGTTTTATTGAAACTGAACGTACTGTAAGGTAAATCATTCTCAATGATGTTTATATTCCAAGTAACCTATGACTAATATTACCATGTAGTGCTGTAATCAAATCGAAAGTGTCAAGGTGAACATAACGATGACATGCTTCCTCTAAAGCTTTAACGATACCATTATTTATACGTGTTTGTACTGCTTTTTATACTCGACTATGGAAATGGCATTTGTCCCTACGGTTTCATAAGTTTTTTACGAATTGCACTTTCCTCGTGTCGATGTTGTATACCGCGCGTGGGAACGGTAGCTGAAAGTCATCGCGGTCGTAACTACATCGATTAGTCGCATTTTCATTTGCGGAATGAGTTCGAAATGTTTTCGACAATAATCCGATTGCGTGACGAACGACGAGGGTGTTTTGTATAGTCCGGCAAGAAACGAACGTTACACGGCGACGCGGTCTGTTTTTGCGCGATGACCGCCGCCATTACGAAATTAATCTGTATTTTTCTTGTTTCTTCTGTCCATTTTCTTATTTCTCCGAGTGAAATGTTCATTGGACTGTTGAACGCAATCGAAGCTAAGCATCTTTCTTTGTTTTAGTTCCGTTTGTTACATGCTTACAGGTTTCTAACAGCGAGATGACTATAAAGAAATATTTTATGAAATGCATATAAAAGCACATTTAAATGTATATTTGAAAATTCTTTGCGATTTGTATTTTATTGTTTTAAAAATGTAGCCAAGTATGATTAAAATGTTGTACAATTATTTTAAACGGTCTTTACTTTGGTTAAAAATCGGCTAGCTGTACATTACACGTTTCCATTTCTGAAGTTCTTTTTGTATATTTTGTTTCGTGTGTTTCTAGTTATTAGGATAGGAATAAGATTAAGTGTAATTTCGCGTTTAAGCATTGTTGAAAATTGATTGTCGCATTGCTACGACGACGTCGCGAGTAAACGGTTGCAGCGTTTGGAATATGAGTCGATGTACTTCCGCGTATTAATTGTTAAGCGACCGATTGTTTCGTTTCGAGTCAAACGTGCACGTTATTCGTTATCATTTGTATGAATGCACAGAGAGTTGTACGTGATGTATCTCGAGTAGTAGTCAGTTTGGACTGCTGTGTGTAGTTGTCTTCAAACCTTTCACGAGATTAAATAAAATACATGGAAAAGGAACGGAGAATTTGTCACCTCCCAAATTTGATTATAGGATTTAATGTCATAATAAATAATATAAGCTTAATAATCGCACAGTTTTAATAAGCAACAGGTGTGTTATCAGTATGTTTAATTACGTAAACGTACAAGAGTATCAGGTTTTAATCAATCTTATTTTCTTCTTTGCTACAATTTTATTTCATATTTATTACTGTAATATTATACTTCGCCTGTTACCGATAGTATTTACGTAGTATAGATAAGATATTGAGCTCTATTTGTAAATAGTTTGATGGAACTAGGTCAACTATCTCCGTTTATACTAAGTACATAGATACAGTTTGCCAGAAGTTTATTTGAACATTTTTTATTGTTTCGATACGCTAAAGCCACTCTCAAAATATTTCCCACTTATTTAGGGACACTCTGTATATTCATTCATATAGTAGTGATCATAGAAATTGCACTATTTCAAAAATAGCATAGTCATGTATATAGTTTGGTTCAGAAAATAGAACGAAAATATCGTACCTAAAACATATTACTTCAAAAATCTTCAATTTGTGATTGTCCACACAAAGTTAGCCATTACATTTCAAAACTAATTGAAATTTCAGCATTAACATTAAGTGTTCGGACACATATTGTCCAGTTTATTCTATTGTTCCTAAATCTATGTTCGTTTATTTAGATTCTACTGATGATCGGTTTGGTAATTGATAATTGAGATACATATCCGTAATTTCACCAATGAAAATCGGCGTGGATATTAACAAACTAATATTTATAAAATTCGGTGTTAAATAAGTATACAATGTAAAAATAAAAGTAAATAAAGATAGGTAGGAGAAAAGGACGACACGTAACCATCAACACCAGCAGACCCTCAACCGCAAGCATCACGCGTTACAAACAATTTCCCTTGCCTCCCCAAACGTGATCTTCATTTTATATCTTCCGTTTATCGTGTACTTCGGCTGTTTCATTGCCCGACCTCGCCTCCTTCCTTCGTTCCTCGTTCACTCGCCAGAGAACCCATCGGCAGGGCTTGGAATCGGGCGACTGGAACTTACGAGCGACGCTGCACTTTTGTCCGGCGTCGTACGAGTTCCTGAACTTCATTAGCCAGGACTGTCTCGCGGCCCCTCGGATGTTTTCGGATTTACAGGCAACGGAAACGGGAATCTTTCCTTCCCGATCCCATCAAACTTTTTGGCACCGGCGTTGTCCCAGTTTCCGTTGATCCTTTTATTATCCGTATATAGTTTTCTCGGCATTAAACTCAGGTCTTCGTAAAATCGCGAGGTCGGTACCAGTTACGGAAATAGAAACACTTCGGTGCATCCGGCGCGGGTTTATCCTCTTTCATTCGTTGCGATGGGGTCCGACTATGGTAGAGGCATGGACTCGATGCATTTGTGTGCATCAGTTTGTCGTTCGGTATGGTTTCGAACAATTTCAGACACGACGAAGCAAATGACTGATCCGTATATTGTATCGCGTTCGACGAGTAATCAAGTACGGTTCACGGTTGATTGGAAACAGATATTAAGAGTTTACTTAATGGCTTATTGACACCTTATCGACGGAGTCATAACGTTGATTCTTTATCGCATCGATGGGAAGAAAATATAGTCAGGGACAAAAAGATACTACAGTGTAAAAGTTGCTGAATTCTTTTTATTGAAACGATGATACAAAATCTTTCTTATATACATGTTTCTCACAGTGCTTTTATAAATATGTGTAAGTAACATAAATTAAATTTTATGCAGTATGTTTCGTGTTGTTAAACGCAATGGAAAAAATAGGAATGTTACAATTAAATGTTACGATTAAAAATAAATAGAAACATTACAATATTATGATTCATCAAAATAGAAGTATTACAATACTCATTAAACACAGACAAATAGAAATATTACAATACTTATGAAAATAAAAGAAACGAATTTAATAATTTTTAATACTTAGTATGCCCCCTTTTGAATTTAACAACAGCAATCATTCTTTCAGGCAAAGATTTACATAGTTTTTCAATAGATTTTTACCTTAATTTCTTCCACTTCTTCACAATGCATTTTTAAAACTCATTAATAGTTGCGAATTGCTTCCCATTTTTGTATACGGCCCTTGCCAAATTACCCCAATAATTTTCTATAACGTTTATGTCTGGTGACTAACCTTTTTGTACTTGCAATGTATCGCTTTACTTTCTTCGTAGTGTGTACGGTCGCGTTATCACGTTGAAATATGTATTTATATCCGGCAATTCGTATCGCATATGCATTAATTTGTTCTCCAATAATTTCATCATGCTTTTTACTATTTAATGTTCCTTCAATCAATTTTATCTCCCTATTCTCATAATAACCCATACCTCCCTAAATTATTATACCGTCGCCTCCCATGGGTTGACGACTTAGTTGTTGCTTTTTCCTTAAATCGTGATAATAACAGTGGAGGTCATTAGATTTGTCTAAATTGAACCACTTTTCGCGCGCCGGTAAATATGATTCTTCGCCATTTCTTATTCATATGAACATGCTTCTCCGCAAATTGCAGACGGCACGGTTTATGCTCTCGCTTTAACAAAGGTTTTCGTTGCAATTTTCGTCGTTTCAGATGTTCACAATTAATTTTGTACTCTCCAATTGCAACTCAGGTGAAATATGTCGGTCACTGCACATGATATTTACATTCCGCTCAACAATGGTGACCGTAACTGATTATATTATTCAATTTGACGCAAAAATTATGTTGTACAGTGGTTTATAGTGCAAGACCCTGATTTCTTGTTTTTGCAATTATTAAACAGATAACAGATGTTCCTCTACGAAATTATTAGAGAAACTGATGTCGCAATGTGTTAATTGAATTGAAAATCAATTAAAGTCTAAATAGATGCACTCTTGGAGTTTATACAGAGGAATTTCAAAAAATCAATTTATTAATTTAATTAATTAAATTATTAAAAATATTATTATAATAATATTAAATAATTAAATGATTAAAAATAAATAGGTCTTGGTTAGGTTGGTCTATGCAATAGATATAATTATTAAAATGCTCTTCATATGTAAATAATTACAAATCTAGTTCAAACAATAAGTGTACTAGTAGTCTCTCTCGTGTAATCGTGAGCTTCAATTAATTAAATATTTTATTTACGTTTTCGGTAGCATTGATTATTCTTTGCTTACAGCCCGGTAGAGATCATCCGGTGTGTTGAATTTTTTACCTCTTATTTTTAATTCAATCTCGTCCCTTGTATGCTCGATCGAATTTATTTCCGGTGACTGGACTGGATAGCTAGAAAGGGTAATCCGATTATTTTTTAACCATTCCATGAATCTCTTTGCTTTACGTTCAGGATCGTTATTCTCTATACACAACTATCTTGTTGTTATATTGTAAAAAACATATAGCAACATTGCTTCTTTCACAGTTTCTGTATATTACACCTGATTTGATTTATCTTCAATACAATGCAGAAGATATATCAAATCATATATAAAATTTTCAAAATTCTAAGATAATAAGAAGAAAAATGGTAGTATATAAAAATGGCAATAAGTTGAAAACATAGAATAGAATTTTCTTACATGAGACTTCATCTCTGAGATAATCAACTTTGAATATTTATTCAATATACGTTAAGTCATTTAGTAAATAATGTAATTTCTAATCTTACATTGTAAGATATTTATTAACGTAATTTCCGAAATGACATGAAAAAATTGATCGAAAAATGGGGAAAGGACATACACAGCGATGACTAAAAAAATTATTGTACTCATTTTTTACATCAGTATAAAAGAGCGACATTAGTTATTAGTAATGACCTAATATTCCTATTTCTGTCGAATAGAATATAGATCACACCTTTTCTCCATTTCCCTGCAAGCTTGACCTTGAACGACCTTGAGTCATAGATCATTGAATTCGTCTTAAAACGCACTATTTGACGGTGGATGAAAAAACGTATCATTCCATTTAAGAAAAGAAAGTTGACCTTCACATCACCTTGGAGTATCCACTACGAAAAATAAGTTCCACCATCTTTGCGTATAATCAATATTTTCGGAGACATTCGACTGTAACGCTTTATAATTTCCACCCTGTATACGCGCTTGACAAAATTCTCTACTACACAAAAGAATGTCATTGTATAATTCTTATTAAATTCTTCGTACAGCGGTATACTTTTCTTCGCGGTTATATCACTACTTCCAAAAGTCCCCGTACATCTGAGGATATATTACGTTACAACTAAAACGTCGCCACAACGAAACACGTTATTACGTCCAGATTTAACAGAGCTTGTCGTGCGCACAGAGAGATATTTTTTAATTCGCCGGATATCCGACAAAACGAATGTAATCCGTATTCAATAAATGAAACTTCGATTTATCCGACCAGAGAATTCGCGCTATCTAGAATTTTAGAATTGAACACATCCGTGTCACCGGAAATTTCGGTTATATCTTGCTTACGGAGTGCACCGATTTTTCAAATGAAATATTAAGTTACATCCAAGTTTTTGATGACTTTTATATACACTTTGATATTATTTCTTTACGTTTTCGCTGCTTCGCGACGTGTACTTTTCTTTGACACATATCCGACAAAAAATGTTTCCTTACAAGAATTCATTGTGTATCACGGTACAGGTGGCACGGAACGTGTTAAGTAATGTGATCGTTGACAAATGTTAGGTATGCGATGCTATTCTCCTTTAAAATGGCGGGTTGATAGATAGAAAGCGCGTGAAAGGAATGCAGGTCTAATTGGAAAGAGTGGAAGATGCATGTCTCTTTTCACATGCAGTTTCAATGATAATTAATCAATACCGCGAAGAAAACACAGCGAAGGACTGTGTATCTCTGTACGGTCGCGGGTGCCAATTTTCCATCGACGCGCGATAGGTTCCACGTATTGCGATTCCGCTCAATAAATTAAATTCCGTTGTCCACGTCCATGAACATTTCGCTCTTGTTTGACGGATTAATCCTCAACAGACCAGAAGAGTTCATTGACCCAATTTGATGTTTATATCTGTTCAAAAGTCTTTTACCAAATTGTCGTTCAGAATTTTTGTATATATCAAATGTGTAAAACAAACGAGTGAAGTAAATAAGAAAAATAATAACATTAAAATATATGACCACTTCCTTTCTGAGGACGTTTCGCACTGAGGTCTATTGATCGCTACCGGTATCTTGCGTTACTTGTTGTGGTCCTTTGACGCTAGAACTACCGAGCATTCAATACGATTAAAAACAACTGTGCCAATAAAAATTGTACAAAAATTCTAAAATTAAAAATTTTTTTATTGATAAAACTTGTACCAATAGATTATTTTCAGTTTTTTCAAACATTCGCTGTAGTATTCAAGTGAAACTATTTTCATTTCGAACATCCAACGCTTTTAAGATATCAATAATTACGAAACGAAGAGAACGAAATCAGTCATTTTGGCTGGGACGGTGATTTTCTTTAAATACAGAATCTACGTAGTGTAATTTTATTATACACTAAT